ACCTCCAAATAGGTAACCCTTTAAAGATAAAAAGAAATTTTGTATGTATGTTCCTTAGTGACTCCGAAACGGGTCCATTGATTTAAAATTTGAAATTTAGGACGATATAGGGGATGGTGCAGGGAATGTTCCTGATTAGCTTTTTTTAAGTACACATACGCTGACGCTTACTTATCTTTGCCCCACGAAAACTACTTTTCAAACTCTATACTTTTACTTTCAATGAATACATAAATAAACAAATATGTACCATTTTGGTCGACCACTTTTTGCCATTTCCGYTAAAGACATTATACCATCAGTGTAAATCGAAATTTCCAGAATGGAAGCGAGCGAAACAATGTTGTGCTACACAAACTGAWACAGCATCGTCTCCGTAAACTTTACAAATTTCGTTGGTGGCTTGCGTGACATTTTATAGTATACAAAAATTTCAAAATATAGCGAATTTCTTCATTATTTTCACTCATTTTTGTACAGCTGTAACTTTTTTTCGACAACCGCGAACTTAATTTATTTATGGTTAAATGAAACTTAAAGCTTATCACCWTTCCGAAACTACATATGGTATAACACAATGTGATTGATACAGGAAATATATGACTGGAATGAYATATGTATWAGAAAAGACTTTTGCGACTACCSAATATAMAATATTACGTAAATAAGTTCTAAGGTGTCAGTATTTCCCAATAAAAATTAAGCATTGTAATAATGCAATAAAACTCCTCCTTTGAAACTTCTCTGTTATGGAAATAAAGAAACAGAAGCAAAAAAAAAAACAAAAATTGAAGGAAGATTACCCTACTGACCACTGGATCAACACCTCGCGAAGATAGCAGTCTTTCGTTACTAATATTTTTCTCCTTATCAATGTGAGCTGATTTCATCTTCTCYTCTTCAAAATTTAATTAACAAAGAAATACGAATATGAAGCTACAGCAAATTTTTAAACTAAAACACTTTTGTTCATTTTGCACTTGCCTTATTATTAATTGATTTTATTTTTTTTTTCTTGTTTTTTTTTTTGAATGAACTGTGTTTCAAAGCATCGGATTTATTTAA